TCTTCGGCGGGCTCTTCAACAACAGCCCCGCCACCACCAGCAACAGCTATCTCAAGCTTAAAAGCCCGACCAAAACCCTGCAAGAGAAGAAGAAAGAAGTCAAAAACAGAATACGAATTACAAAAACCTAAAAGAACTCGGAGGAGATTACCACTTACCTTAGGAGGAGGATGAGCAACATCATACTCTTCAACACGAGCAGGCATCACAGAGACCCCACCCAGAATACGCCCCAGGCGTTCAAGAATGACCTCCTCAGGCAACTCGACATCAGGAACAAGTCAGGAAGGATCTGAGGGCCCAGTATATTCAAAGTCGTAATGCACCCTCTGCATAAGAGGTTGCACCCGGCGATGCAAGAAACTGGCAACTATACAATTGCCACTTAAGCTTGCCTGTTTAAGCACTTCAACTCGAGCGAGTACAGGTTTTAGAGTAGCACGCTCAGCAGAAGAGATTTTATCTTTCCAAATAGAGAGGGGAACGAGAAGAACAAAAAGATCATGAGAAAAGGAAAGAGCAGGTTTTGAAATATAAAGTCACTTCTCCGCCCAATTCTTGACAGAATCAAAAAGGGTAAGAGAAGGGAAAGAAACTCCCTGACGGGATTGGATAAGGCAGCAGCCGAGAAAAGGAGTATTATTTCCGTCTGACAAACGCACACGGAAAAAATGACAAAAAAGAAGAAGATTTGGAGGAATTCCGACGAAAACTTCGCAAAAATGCACGAAGGTAGAAAGAAAAAGAACCCCGTTAGGGGTAAGATGATGGATTTGAATCCCATAGGATCCAAGAAACTCAAGCAAGAAATTGGACGGGGGATAACAGAGCCCCGCCCGCACAAAAGGAACAAAAAGAATAGATTGATTCAGAGTGGGAGAAGGGACATCGTGCTCACCAGGACCAGAGAAATTAGAGAGACATTTCTCCTGAAGAAGGCCATGAGCAACAAGCAGATCCAACTCCGCCTCCGAAGTCGACGGCTTGGGGAGTTGCCTCTGCATTTTCCGCATCGCAACAAATTCGGTGTTCTCGATCACCTTGAGCGACGCCTCCTCGTCGACAGATTTGCCCTTATTCTTGCTCTTGTTCTTCGCCACCATCTCAGAAAAACAAAGACAAGATTTGGACATAAATAGCAGGAGATCGAAGGCACAACGGAGCTAGGGTTTTGGCTGAGATTGGGGAATTTTTTACTGCAAAGGCAAGTTAAGCCAACAGTAACAGAGCAATTATCTTTATACAAGAAAAATACGTGGCCCACGAGGCCCAAAATCACGCCGATTGCCCAAAGAGGCCCTTCAAAGTTACCGTTCCACAATTACCGTGCACACAAAACAAAAAGGTAACGGTCCGTTCAGACTATAACGGATACATGATGAATTAACACATTCACAAGGAGGCAACCAGGAAACAAGGACGCAACAAGTCAGTCATGACAAAACACCACATTACAAACATACAAAAGAGCTCGGCCACATCAATAAACAACTCGGTCATAGAGCAGAAATGAATATTTTTTCATTTCATCAAAGGTACATTGAGATTACAACAGAATGCAAGATCTGATGAATTCGACGAAGAAAACAAAGGAAATCATTCAGCACGAGGTTGAAACCCTCGAACCAAGATTCGATATTACCAGGCAGGATAAAACAACTCGAACGTACTTTTCTCCAAAGGAAGGGCGCACATCCAAGATTGCTATAGGTGACAGAGAAGGCACCCACAAGTCATCCAAGATTGACAACGACAACCACGTCAATATGGAAGAACCCGGCACCATCTCTCAACACGTGCTGATCTGTATTGGACTGAACCTAAATGGCACAGCAGAAGACTGAATAATGGCTGATCTACAACGGACTGTCGAAGAACAAGCCGGAACACGCGCCAATCATCACCGTAAGAAGAACAAAAAAGAAAGGGTAGGCACTGGAAGATGAGGCAACACAACATGCATCACTCACATCACAAGTCCTACACCATTTGCCTCAATATCCCTTACAGCTAAATACCACCTCGAGACTAGCCTGCTACTAGTCTCTATCACAAGACCTACACCATTTACTAGCAGAAGTAAACAGAAGAAAGAGAACAGGCCCGGGGGCTCGTCGAGCTCCCAAACTATAATATCCATGACTACAAAAAGAAGAAGAAACTACACAACAGGGTATCAGCAACAGGCCATATTTATAGCACAACTCAGATGCACATATGCCAGACTCATGGAAGAAAAAAGAACTCCAAAAGGACAACCATGTGAACCACTGCAGAGCCAGGACTTCAGTAAAAAATCAGATGTGACTAGACCATCACGAAGGAACAGTACATACCCAGAACAACCACAATACAAGATAAAGCATATTCAAGAGAATATTCCACAGCAGCAATACAACCTGTGAAGACATATTGAATTCTCCAATAACTAGAATGACAGCAGCAATAAGCAGCCGAACAAACAACTCGGAGACGTGTGAAGGATCACATACAAAATTACAGTGTCAAAGGATTACAGTTGAAAAAGAACTCGGACGGAGAAAAATTATAAATCTCATTGATCGAAGACAAATACAAAAGTTATAGACGGCCAAACAGGACCGGATAAACTCAGACATATGATAGAGACAAGATTCTTAAATATTGCAACAAGAAACCTAGTGGCGGCAGCAGCGGCAGCTCGGACGTAGAAGAACAGATAGAGCAGCATGATCATTACCAACCAAGCATAAGTCCAGGGGCTGCTCAACCTCACACACCAGCATATCTACGAATGAAGAAAGAATTGAAGAAGAATTTTCCTATTCAAGGCAGAACCACAACCAACAAAGAAGGTATTTATAGCAAACCAGAGGTAAACAAGGCTAAAGATCACAAGAAAGAGAGAGGAAAAGAACAAAAGAGCAAAGCAACAAAGGCGAATAGTGCCCAAAAGCAAGATTCCTGACAAAAAGTAAAAGAAGACGCTTACTCATGGCTATACAAAACCCATCCGTGACCAGCAAAAGACAAAGACCAAAGGAGTACAAATCAAGACCCTTCCACCGGCTTCTTTTCAACAGAAAAGAACCCGAAGAAGGCTCGGGGGCTGCAAGTACCTACCACAGAAAAACATATTTTCAAATTTTTTGACCCTCCAGCTTTTTGTACCAAAAAACAGAAGGCTCGGGGGCTACACTCAATAAGTGCAATTTTTGCAAAATTGCACTCGCTGCACTCAAAGGAAAAAGAACCTGGAGGACATCAAGCAAAAGTGCACATCAACCAAAAGAAGAATCAAAGAAGACCATCTCAAGATTTCACTTCAAGAAGGACTCGGATCAAGACTACAACAACTCGGCCCTTGAAGCTCAATCATGAAATGCTTGGGGGCTTGTCGATGGGGAACCCTACGGGCCCCCCATGGACCATACTACAGGGAGGTAGACCTTGGTAACAAGGCCTACAGCCCAATCGCCAAGAAGAACGCGGAGCAAAGCAACGTGCAAAACCGAAACTCCAACGCAAACTATACAAGGAAAGGCGCCCGAAGCGTAGCTTAGGACTCTGACCTTGTATCCGAATAGGACACAAACAACGCCTCTCAGCGCCTGGACTATAAAGGGCTGGTTAGGGTACCCATTGTAAGAGGAGAACGCATACCCGATACTCAAAGCAATACAACGCAAACAGGCTAACGCCAAAACTGGACGTAAGGTTATTACTCGACCAAGTCGAGGGCCTGAACCAGTATAAATCGTGAGTCTCTTTGCGTAAACCGCCGAATTCCGCTATTCGCCGAAGCCCGAACAACTGTCCCGGGTACCCCCGTGGCAGGCTATCGGTGGTAAAACATCGACAGGCGCCCCTGTCCGGCAGCGGACAGACCCGAACCAGCGACTCTTCCTCTTCCTCCTCTCCGCAACATCTGAGCGTTGAGCTGTTCGTCTGCATCTCCGGCCGGAGTTCCCTGCGCGCATAGGGAGCTTCGGTAGCAGGCCTCCGGAACTTCCCCCGTCAAGCATACATGCACGGGTAGGCGGGGAATCAAGTTTTTGGGGAGCGCCGGCTTCCCGGCACGACTGCTGCCCCGTCTCCGCTTCTGCAGGTTCCTGTTTGGGGGCTTCTGCTTCCTGACGGGAGATCCCCGTGCTACTGCTCCGACACCGCACATGCAGGAGCTTCCCGGCGCGACCTCCTCTGCAACATGGTGGACACGAGGAGGACTGACGCCCGCACCAACGCCACCGACGGAGAAGATGGTGGCTCACTGTCCGCGGGTACCGGCAGTTCCACCCTAGGGTAAAACCTAATCCCACTGTGCGCTATTGTTCATATGCTATTCTGTTAGCGTTGTTAGCGTACTTGGTTGCTGCTCTGTTAAATACTATCTGCAGTAGTGATGGTGTTACAGTATGGTTAGTGGTACTGTTACTATTGGTTAAGTCGTTTTTATGGAATAATATAAGTCGTAAATTGACCAAATGTTCAGCACGGTTCGTGTCCCCGCAGACTGTGCCGCCGCTCAATCAGATTAGGATCAGGCGATCATCGCGATCGCGTGCGTCACTGGGCGTCGTCGACGACCTAGCCTGCTACTGCGTTTCGCCGTTTCCTTAGGGCAGACTGAGAAAGTTAGCGTCGGTGAGTTATCGATTTTTACTTATAGTAGATGACGATCATGATATATTATATGTGTATAAACCAATATACTGAGAAATATGTTATCGATTTCGCCACACCTTAATTTTTTTCCGTCCTCCGCCACTGCGCACGAGAGGAGACCACACACTAGAGAGTACGTACAGACACAATGAAGCCCGGGAGACAGGAAGGCATCAATTCACATGCAGCTTCTCATGTTCCCGGCCGGCCTGACGCTTAATTTACACACAGCTCTCTTTTGCTAGCTTCAGGCATCGAATTTGAGGCTTCGTAGGGAGACTGCTAGCCGCGACGATCGGAGTGGGATCCCGGCCAGTCGTCGTCCTAGAATCATATCGGCCGGCGATGATGAGAATTCAGAAGCCGATGATCTCGTCCGGCACCGTCACGAACCTCGCCCGTTTCTGAAAGGAACCATGCAAGAGGAAAAGAAAAAGGAAGTTGTTAGTTGCTTACATTGTCAGCTAATAATAGCGACGGTTTCATTTCACTTTTGGAAAAGAGAAGGCGAACAAAAGGTTGAGGCGCTGTTGCAAATTTGCATTGCATGTGCGGTGTTGACTCCTCTATCCGGCCGGCCGGCCGGCTGTAGCACACTACTGAACTGTGCGGCTGCAGCAGCAGGTCTTGCTGCGTGATGAGTTGCTTGCTTCAAGTGAAAGCCACTGGTAGCAGTAGCAGCTAGCAGTTCTCGGTGGTGCTCTCTCTCTCTCTCTCTCTCTCTCTTCCACCGAAAGGGGAAGGCTTGCTACCTGCATGCATGATTGTTCGGCCTGCCGCCTACCTGGCTGATGGAGTAAATACAACGATCGATCAATAAGGCCGCGTTTAGTTTGAAACCCAAAATCCCAAAAAGTGCTATATCACATCGAATTTTCTGATACGTACGTGGAGCATTAAATGTAGATAAAAAAAAATTAATTGTACAATTTGATGGAAAATCATGAAACGAATGTTTTGAGCCTAATTAGTCCATGATTGAATAGCCACGCGTACGTGGTGGCCGCCGTACTAATAAAATCTGAATATCTCTGCATGTCAACGAGTTGTTGAAGCTAGCCTTGACGGAGCCCGCGGTTGCATTTAATTAAACACATGCAATTGAGATATGTTTTTGAAACACCACCTTGAGATATGAGCACACGAGAGCCATGCATATCTTGATCGATCGAGATCTGTACCTTAACTAGCAGGTACAACCGAGTTTGTTTCAGAATCTTACCACATGCATATATATGCATGGCGGCATCGGATCACTAGGTGGGACCGTGGGAGTGGTAGGAGTAGTACATTAGGACTACGACGATCGACGTACCTTGCTCGTTGACCTTCAGATTGCATGCTTCGTTAATCGGTAAGGCCTGGTTTAGTTCAAAAATTTTTATCCTAAACTATCACATCGAATCTTGCGGTATATGCATGGAGTATTAAATATAGACAAAAAAAACTAATTGCACAGTTTGGTTGGAAATCGCGAAACGAATGTTTTAAGACTAATTAGTCCATAATTAGCCATAAGTGCTACAGTAACTAACATGCGCTAATGATGGATTAATTATGCTTAATAAATTCGTCTCGCAGTTTCCAGACGAGCTATGTAATTAGTTTTTTTATTAGTATCCAAAAACCTTTTCCGATATTCCCGAAATATCCGATGTGACATCCAAAAAAATTTTATTTCGCGAATTAAACACAGCCTAAGCTAGTTTCTACTACTACTCTATGCGCTAGAGTGTGTGTCTATATATATATATATATATATATATATATATATATATATATATATATATATAAAGCAGTAATTAATTAACAACCCTACGACCCGGCCTCTCCTACGTGCAAGCTCAGCCTTACCAAACACCACCTTGAAAATAGTATAGCTTCATTTGCTCCCAGCTAAACAATTTGTCATGAAGCTTTCTGAAAGTCTGGTTCTGAATGCATTGGACTTGCATGCTGACCTGTTAGCTAACCCGATCGAACACCGGATCGAACACACTTAACAGCTCGTAATCAATTATTAGACAGCGCCCCATGAAGCAGCATCAGCGCACCTAACAGGTAGACTGAGTGACCACTCTCTCTCCATGGGGTACTAGTAGTACACTACGGTACTGGTACCTGTCCCCGTCGTCACATCGATCACCTAATAATATGTAATAGTCATGACTGAGAGTACTATTAACTAATTTATTGTAAGAAAAAAATAAATTAAGCGAATAGGACGTAAACCCTTCTCCTTCTGCTACTGGACACCACACCACTCACCACTGTACCATGCACACACGCCACACGCATCTTTTATTTTCCTTTCCTCGCCTTAATAATTTCCCTGTGCACGCAGGCTGCCGCTGGATGCCAGCCAACATATATTACTTACTGTATAGTAGGAGTATTTGTTACTGGAGGATATTGTACTCTCCTGGATCGGAGTACGCACTGCTCCCTCGGCCCCAAATTAAATATCGTTTTTGATCTCCGTGCCGTAAGTTTGACTAGATTTATAGAAAAATACGTGTAACATTTTTATTTCTAAATAAATTTATTATGAAAATAGATTCAACGATCTATCTAATGATGTTAACTGTGTACCATAAATGTTAATATATTTTTATATAAAATTAGTCAAAGTTATTTCTCGGGAAGCGAGAACGACATTTATTTTGGGACGGAGGGAGTATGTGCCATCAGATAGGCACAGACAGGTAACTAATTTTAATTAATATAAGAATTCTGCTTCGATGGTCCTCTTTAAATAATTTGCACGGATTTTAAAGCAGTAGGGTGATTAAGGCTCCGTTTGGCACGGCTCTACTTCACCTATGAAGCCCTTTTTTGGGGCTTCAGCTTCATGAACAGCTCTATGAGTGGAGCTGTAGCTGTTTTGATAAATCGTTTGGCAAAATAGCTTCACATATAGTTTTTCTTAAAATATGCTCTCAGAGAACGCCATGTAGAATGAGGTGAAGCCGAGAGAAGCCACTATTTTTGGCTCCTTCCCACCCCAAAGCTCTGTGATAGCACGTTTTTAGGGGCTTCATCGGTGGAGCCATTTTATTTTATCCGTTTGGCAGAAAATGGCTCCAAGCGGCTCCTGAAACCGCTAGAGAAGCCCTGCCAAACGGGGCCTAATTATCATTAATTTCGTCTTGGATCTGAATTGAGCCGGCCCTATCCGTGCCCAAAGGAAGCCCAGCCCTTCGCGCACCAGAGCCCAGATTCACGCGGAAGCCGGATGGCCGCGGCACCGGTGGTCGGACGTTCGCGGCACGAGTGGTCGAGCGGCCTTCAGTGACTCGCATCCCCCGCTCTATCGCTGGTCTCGTAGTGCTGGCGGATGGTGGCGGCAGACAGAGCTGACGATGATGGTGGCCTGCCAGAGAACGCGCCTGTCCGATCCGTCATTTGGAGTTGCCTTTGGGCTTCCAAGTCGAATTGTGGAACGTTCAGCTACAGCTTGGGATCAGATAGCAGCTTATGATCTCTAGAGATTCAAGCATGGCAAGATCAACGTGGCATCCTGGAAGGCGTGGCTTGTACACGAAGTGATGAGGCTACTAAGGTTCTGAAAATGTGAACTTGTATCTCTGAAAATGGGAGATGGGAGATGAGAGATCGTGAGGAATCTTGGATGTGGTACACGGAGGGCTGGGTTTTCTTTGGGCACGATAGGACCGGCCGGCCGGCCCAATCCAGATCCCAAACAAAATCAATTATAATTAATCACCTGTGAGACCCCATTAATGAGTCAAGTTGGGCCGGTCTGATGGGCTGGGCTAAATGGTCGAGTACTGTAGTATTGCGGGAACACTGCGGACTTTAGTTCTAGCAGAACCAGCTTAAAAGTCTTGGTCTTGGGAAGTTGTTAACTCCGGTTCGAATCTTTTGCGTGAAGTGAGGACGAAAGCGTAAGAGAGTTAATTAGTAGGTATACTTCATTCAACATGTAGAGTGGATCTTAGCCGTCTTCCCAAGTCGGGGCGTTACATCACCCCGCTTTAAGATTTGTGCAAGCAATTTGTAAAAGAGGACCACCGTGACATGAATGCTAGCTTTTCCACTGATATTGCCTAGTTAACTTATGTATGTACTCCTACGAATATTAAGAAAATTAAGCTGATTCAGAGGAGTATGAAAGGCATGATGACGCACCTCTTTCTTGCCGGTTGCCGCGGGCTTGCTGTCATCGAAATCCTTGCGCGATGAGCTCATCGCCGACGCGTTGCTGATCGCCGGCAGCAGCGGCGGCGCCACGGGCACGGGCACGACGAGGGGCGTGGCGGGCGCGGACCGGTGGTGCCGGCGCTGCTGGTCCCGGGCGACGCAGAGCTGCATGATCTTCTCTGCTGCGTCGGCGGCGTCGCGGCTCTCCTCGACGAGCCGCTGGACGTCGGCCTTGGGGAGCCGCACCCGCAGGCGCACGCCGCCGCCGCCGCCGTCGCCGGCTACGGCCTCGACGGACGACGCGGGGGACGTCAGCACCGACGCCGCCACGTCGGACGCCGACCGCCGCGCCAGCATCAGGCTCTCCAGCCGCTCCCCGGCCTGGAGCGCGCCGGACCACGTGCGCTGGGGCGGCGGGCGGCGGCGCGCCGAGGAGGAGGAGGAGGAGGAGGACGACAGGCTGGGCAGGTCGACGAGGAAGTAGAGCTTCCCAGGCTTGAGCGGCGCGTCCGGGTCGAGCGGGCGCGCGCGCACGCCCAGGCGCCGCACCTCCTCCGACTCCAGCAGGTGGTGGTGGCCCGGGTGGTCACGCAGCGCGTCCCCGGCCGCGGCCGGGGGGCGGTACTTGTACGTGGCGCCGTCCACCGTCATCACCCGCGCCCTCCGCCGCTTCCCGCCAATGGAGTTGCCCATGGTTGATTCTCTGTCTGTCTATGATCGAGCTAGCGGCTAGCGCTCGTGCTCTGCTCTCCGGAAGTTGGTTGGCGAAGGAAGGAAGGTGTGAGGCGAGGAGGCAGCGGAGCGATATAAAGCCCGACGGCATGTGATGTGAGTGAGCATGTGACGAGCAAGTCAATCCTTATAACGACTTACTTTAATCGCTTGCAAATCCCTCCTTAACTACAACTAACTACTAAGAGCATGCGTAATGTAGCGGTTGGTGTCATTGGTTAGCGTGGCATGTTCCAACGTGTGTAGGGTTGAAAATTATTGCGTTCGCGGTCGATGCACAGTGGGGGCAAACAGTGTCTCGGACGAAATTTTTTGCAAGGCCATGTGAGGATCGGAATCGGAGGGCGATCTTATCGGCCATGTGATGTGACCTTCTAGAGCGTCTCCAGAGAATTTTTGCAAGTGCCCAAGTGGCCGCCTGTGCCTACCATCCATCCGTATTCAATACTGTAGGTGCCGGCCGATTGCCGATCAACTATAGTATGATCTTGCAGTCTTTACTCTCTCCAGTAGGGATGAAAACGGTACGGATATTTTCCGATCGTATTCAAGACCGAATCCGTTTAGAGGGGTTTAGATCTGTCCGTATCCGAGTCTGGATATTCAACATCCGATACCTTATTCGTATCCGAATACTCAAATAGCATATTTATGATGTCGATATTTAATCGTATCCTATCCGGCATGGTTGACACTATCCGTATTCGAATCCGAATCCGGACAGAAATATAAAAACAAATATAATATCAGTGATATCCGTCCGTATCCGATGTTTTCATCCCTACTCTCCAGCAACTAGTGCTACACTCACTTCACTCACTAAACCACGTCATTTTATTTATGACAAGATTTAGTAAAAAAACATATTGTTTAGGACAAGGTTTGCTGAAAACTTAAAGACTACATACATCATCATTTTAAAGATGTTTTAGTTTTGAGACATGCAAGATATATTAGTAAATTCGTATTTAAAATGTTTAAAATTTTAAGGATTTTATGAATGTATTCTAATTGTAGTCCCTCAGTCTAGGAATGTAACTAAGTTGCATTTTGATTGAAGAAATTCATACAAAATAGTTTTCGACCATTGATTTATTGTCTTACATCATGCTAACGATTACAAAAAAATATTCAATACCATCTTAGAGGTACACTTTGGATACAAATACATTATGTATGATGCAAGTTTATGCCCTAAACATGCATAGAATTTGACTAATGATTGCTAAAATTGGTAAAATTCGAATTTTCCTAGTCAAAATATGGTTTTAGATTCTTGGAGGAACAAAGTACATGACATTAGTGGTCAAAGACATGCATAGTACACTGTGCAAAACCAAATTAAATGTGACAAATATTTTTTGTTCGGAGGTAGTAGATAATTAACAGTGTTGTTGGACTTACAATTTTTAACTTGGACCGCTATTATTTCTTATTATAGTGTAATTTAAATATCTAATAAGTACTACTAATGAGATTATGAAAGCATCTTTCAAGGAAAATCAACAAATATATGTTTATATTTTGAAACTACATATTTGTAATTGTTTTCACAATCCATATGTTGGAACAACAATTTTTCTTGGATTTTGCTCAAATGGTGAAGGATTTATTTATTGGACGCGACTAGGGAGAGAGCTCTCCCGATAACGATAAGTCAAGGGCCCCCACAACAACAGCTACCCCATCATCCCTGCCACCCATGTGCCTTATATCCTCTCCCACGACAAAAAAAACTCTCGCTCACACTAACGTTCGTCGTGATTGGGTCTTGAAGAGTCGCCAAGCGCATCAGCATGGATATGCCGCTGCCGCTGCGGCTCATGACCACAGCCGACCCTACTCCCTTGTTGGCGTTCGAGATGATTACCATCAACGCCCTCACCAGCAGCGTCTCCCTCTTTGGCTCCTGTGATGCCGCCACTCATGACCACAGCTAGTCGTAAAATCACTCGCTACCCGTTGAAGTATCAACGCCCTCGTTGCCAGCGTCTTCTCCTTGATCCAATGGTGTCATCTCCAGTCGAGTCATTGCCCACTACCACGGCCAACTCTAATCCCTCAATGGGAACAACGACGACTATGATCAACGTCGTTACCCATTTCAACCGTTCACTGGCTGTATCCCTCCACCACAATGCACCAGCCGCCTCATCGTCCTAGCTACCCACCACCACTGCCGGGTTGCTTGCCATCCCCTGGCATCCCTCTAAACCCGGAAGCCTCAGATCCCCTACCCAACTTGATACTCTCGAACCCTAACCTCCTAAAACTTATTTTAACCAGATCGAACTCGTTGGAGTTGGTGAAGGTGGCTAGAGAAGGAGGTGCTAACTGGTATAGAAGATGGTCGTCAAAGATGGGTTTGTCTTCAATGGATCCTACTTTCGTCCTTCTTCCTTCTTACATCTATTTTCATCCTATTTTTGTTTTTATTTTTTGATATGAACAACTTTGACAATTGCTTGTTTGTTTAATCGAGAGTCCTCTCCGTCATAATTTCCTAGATAAATACTTTGAGTACTATTGATGGTTCAAGCTTTTTAAGGTTTATAAGTGTATTTTAGTTTAATAAACGTCATTATATGTTTGTGACTGACGGAATAAACAGTTACCTACTTACCTAGTACCTGTAATTGTTATTCCGTACTGTATAGGGCCCTATGGTGACCTCATTGGTCGAGGTCTATGCAGGGGCGGACCCACAGGGTATGCCGGGTGGGCCACGGCATACCTGGGGTCCAGCAGTCATACATACATAATAGAAAATTTATACGTAAAAAGAGAGAAGGAGAGAGAGGAAGCAACGCAACGACTCGGTTTGGCTTCTGCACTTCCGCACGCGCGCATACCGCGGACGCGGAGTTTGCGCCGGCCTGGGCCTGGGCACTTAGTTGCAATTTGTAAAAAAACTTTGTACTGTACTTGTATAGTCATATTTTTATTTATTTATTTATGGGTGATTTCTTATTATTTCAATTCGTGTTCGTGAGTTTGTTCAACAGACCACTGATTAGCAATTTAGCATCAACCGCATGTGAGTTTTTTTAACAGTAACCTGATTCCATCATCGCATTGGTCGGTTATAGTGAAAACAAAGTCAAGGAATTTACTGAATTAGAATATGATTTTTTTCGAATTATATAAGAATTTTTTATGGCATACCGTAGGGTAAAATCGTAGGTCCGCCGTTGGGTCTATGGACATTGGATCCATGCCCGGGCCGTGCATCCAGCGCTCCAGCTGCAGCTCGCACGCACGGCTAGTGTACGTAACGCCGACGCAGAGGTGACAACTGCTCGATCTGCTATGATTAGCATCGCCTTAGCAATTAGCGTTGCTGTGTCCTTTCCGTAGTTTAGGCCTGGTTTAGTTTCAAAAATTTTCACATCGAATCTTTGAACCATCATGTAAATGGAGTATTAAATATAGAGTTGAACAAACGAAAAAACTAATTGCATAGTTTGGTTGATAATCACGAGTCAAAGTGTTGTTTTTTCATTTGATGTTTTCAAGACTAATTAGTCCATGATTAGCCATAAGTGCTACAGCAAGATCTAACATAACATTTGCGCTAAATGATGGATTAATTATGCTTAATAAATTTTTGTTCAAACTTTCTCAAATGAAAAATAATGGCTCGCAGGATTTTTTTCGTGAGCTATGTAATTAGTTATTTTTATTAGTATCCGAAAACCCCTTCCGATATTCCCGAAACATCCGATGTGACATCCAAAAATTTTCATTTGGCGAACTAAACACACAGCCTTACTAGTGAGGCGAGTGACGAGGAAGAGGTGGATCGATGGGGACACGTTGTAGATCTTGAGCCTTGGTATTCAAAACTTTTCAATTTGAAGTCATTTAGAGTTCATCACGGGCATCTTTGACTTAGCCTGAGACACTAAATGACCTCAGATGAAAAAAAACTCTGAATACCGTATGAGCATCTCAACAACCAACTAAGTGGGGCAAACACTAGTCATAAATTCTTGAATCTCATATAGACTTTACGAAACTATGTGTGGGTTCAAGAAAAATGGAAGAAGAAATCGTTTGGTAGGACAACTCCTCCACAAATTTGCCTTATCTCAAATGCCCGAACGGTTCCAAACTTGGTATTAAAAAAACTTTTCATCCGATCATTTAGCATAATACTATAGTCAAAGCCACCAAATTTGACGGTCAAACTTGCGACAGACCTCAGATGAAAAAACTCTGAATACCAAGTTTGTCATCTCAGCAAGATCTACAATTGTTACATAGCTCATTTTTCCATTTGAGAAAGTTTTATCAAACACTAGGATACAATTCTTAGATGTAAACATAAATTCTTGAATCTCATAGACTTTCTCAAACTATGCTCACACACTTGCTGAAATTTGAACTATATTTTGTTCAAACTTTCTCAAATGAAAAATGGCCTATATAAGGACGGTCGATGAGATGAACAAATTTGGTATTCAAAACTTTTCAATTTGAGACAATCAAGGGTTCCGAAAACTAGTTTGAGCAGCACAAATTTGATCCGTCGAAACTATCTCAAATGGAAAGTTGACCAAAACAACAATTGTAGATCTTGATCATCCAACAAACCGACCAAAACTTTTCAATTTGAAGTCATTTAGAGTTCATAATACTATTAAAGATGCGACCAAATTTGACTTGGTCAAAATCGGACACTAAATGACCTCAGATGAAAAACTCTGAATACCAAGTGTCCACGATCTACATTCATAGCTCATTTATTTGGTGTGTTAGATAGAAATTTCACGGCTCAGATAAACATGTCACAACCGGTCTTTCTCCGTGCATTCGGCAGTGGATAGATGAAGCAAGTGGACGCATTCAATAAAGTAGGGCTTCCAAACTAGTGATCGTCTTTAACGCACAAATTTGAACCATCCAAACTATCGCAAAATTGTAGATCTTGATGAGAGTTGAACGCATAAGGGGTACGA